AAGGATCCTTTTATCGCCATGCTCTACTTTCTGCCAGACAGCCAATCTTCTATCTATGCTAGTGCCTTGCCTCTAACACCAGGACCCTTTCTTACTCAGCAGCCTCCTGTGTGGCACTGATTAGGGATAGTCAGTATAGCTTTGTACGTGGGAAATTATGTCTCATTAACTTCATTGAGATTTTTAAGGATGTGAATAAGAAGATCAAAGAGGGCAGAGTGGTAGATGTTGTTTACATGGACTGTAGAAAGCCTTCAACAAGGTTCTGCATGGTAAACTGGTTAGTAAGGTTAGATCACATGGGATCCAGGAAGAGCTAGCCAGTTGGATACATAATTGGCTGGACAGTAGGAGACTGAGGTTGATGGTAGAGGGTTGTTTTTCAGACAGGAAGTCCGTGACCAGCAATGTTCCACAGGGATCGGTGCTAGGTCCACTGTTGTTTGTCATTTATACAAACGATTTGGATGAGAATATAGGAAGCATGGTAAGTAAGTTTGCAGATGACATCAACATTGATGGTATAGTGGACAGTGAAGAAGGCTATCTAAGAGTACAATGAGACCTTGATCAGCTGGTCCAATAGGCTGAGGAATGGTTGATGAGTTTAATTTAGATAAATGTGAGGTTTTGCATTTTAGTAAGATAAACCAGGGCAGGACTTACACAGTTAATGGCTGACCCTTGGGGAGTGTTGTCAAACAGAGACACCTAGTGGTTCAGGTACTTAGTTCCTTGAAAGTGGCATCATGAGTAGACAGGGTGGTGAAGAAGCCATTTAGTACACTTGCTTTCATTGGTCAGAGAGCTGAGAATAGGAGTTGGGATGTCATGTTGTGGCTGCATAGAACATTGATGAGGCCACTTTTGGAGGACTGCCTACATTTCTTGTTGCCCTGCTTTTGGAAGGATATTATTTAAATTGGAAAGGGTGCAGAAAAGATTTACAAAGATGTGACCAGAACTGGAGGGTTTAAGTTTTAGGAAGATGCTGGAACTTTTTACCCTGGCATGTAGGTAGTTGAAGGATGACCTTAAATAGAACATAGAACATAGAACAGCACAGCACAGTACAGGCCATTCGGTCCACGATGTTGTGCCGACCTATTTTATCCTACTCTAAGATCAAACTACCCTGCATACCCAACATTTTGCTATCATCCATGTGTCTATCCAAGAGTTGCTTCAATGTCCCTAATGTATCTGACTCCACTACCATCACCTGCAGCGCATTCCACACGCCCACAACTCTCTGTGTAAAGAACCTACCTCTGACATCTCCCCTGTACCTTCCTCCAATCACCTTAAAATTATGCCCCCTTGTAATAGTCATTTCCACCCTGGGAAAAATGTCTCTGGCTATCCACTCTATCTATGCCTCTCATCATCTTGTACACCTCTATCAAGTCACCTCTCATCCTTCTTCACTCCAATGAGAAAAGCCCTAGCTCCCTCAACCTTTCCTCATAAGACCTGCCCTCCAGTCCAGGCAGCATCCTGGTAAATCTCCTCTGCACCCTGTCTAAAGCTTCCACATCTTTCCTATAATGAGGTGACCAGAACTGAACACAATATTCCAAGTGTGGTCTAACCAGGGTTTTATAGAGCTGCAGCATAACCTCGCGGCTCTTAAACTTAATTCCCCTGCCAATGAAAGCCAACACACCACACACCTTCATAACAACCCTATCAACTTGGGAAGCAACTTTGAGGGAACTATGAACGTGGACCATGGGATCCCTCTGTTCCTCCACACTGCCAAGAATCCTGCCATTAACCGTGTATTCTGCATTCAAATACGACCTTCCAAAATGAATCACTTCACACTTTTCTGGATTGAAGTCCATCTGCCACTTCTTTGCCCAGCTCTGCATCCTGTCAATGTCCTGTTGTAACCTAAAACTGCCCTCCACGCTGTCCACAACTTCACCAATCTTCGTGTCATCGGCAAACTTACTAACCCACCCTACCACTTCTTCATCCAAGTCTTTTATAAAGATCACAAAGAGCAGAGATCCCAAAACAGATCCCCGCGGAACACCACTGGTCACTGAGCTCCAGGCTGAATACTTTCCATCTACTACCACCCTCTGTCTTCTATTGGACAACCAATTCTGTATCCAGACAGCCAAATTCCCCTGAATCCCATGCCTCCTTAGTTTCTGAATGAGTCTACCATGGAGAACCTTATCAAATGCTTTGCTAAAATCAATATACACATATCTACTACTCTACCTTCATCAATGTGTTTTGTCACATCCTCAAAGAATTCAATGAGGCTTGTGAGGCATGACCTGCCCCTCACAAAGCCATGCTGACTATTTCTAATCAAACTGTGCTTTTCCAAATAATCATAAATACTATCTCTCAGAATCCTCTCCAATAATTTGCCCACCACAGAAGTAAGACTGACTGGCCTGTAATTCCCAGGTTTATCCCTATTCCCTTTCTTGTACAATGGAATAACATTTGCCACCCTCCAATCTTCTGGTACTACTCCAGTAGACAGTGAGGACACAAAGATCATCGCCAAAGGTGCAGCAATCTCTTCCCTCATTTCCCATCTGGCCCAGGGGACTTATCTATCCTCATGTTTTTCAAAATTTCTAGCACATTCTCCTTCCTAACATCAACGTGTTCAAGCATATCAGCCTGTTTCACACTGCCCTCACAGATGTCAAGGTCCCTCTACTGGTGGATATTGTAGTAAAGTATTCAAGAAGAACCTCCCCCACCTCCTCCGACTCCACTATCCCTGACCGGCCCTACCCTCACTCTCGTCGTCCTCTTGTTCTTCACATAAGCATAGAATGCCTTGGGGTTTTCCTTAATCCTACCTGCCACGGCTTTTTCTTACCCCCTTCTAGCTCTCCTAAGTCCATTCTTCAGTTCCTTCCTGGCTACCTTGTAGCCCTCTAGAGCCCTGTCTGATCCTTGATTCCTCAGCCTTAGGTAAGCTTCCTTCTTCCTCTTGACTAGATGTTCCACATGTCTTGTCATCCAAGGTTCCTTCACCTTACCATACCTTCCTTGCCTCTGTGGGACAACCCTATCCAGAACTCGTAGTAAGTGCTCCCTCAACAACCTCCACATTTCTGTTGTGCATTTCCCTGAGAACATCCGTTCCCAATTTATGCTCCACAGTTCTTGCCTAATAGCATGATAATTCCCCCTCCCCCAATTTAATACTTTCCCATACTGCCTGCTCCTATCTCTTTCCATGTCTATAGTAAAGGTCAGGGAGTTGTGATCACTATCACCAAAATGCTCTCCCACCGAGAGATCTGACACAGGGCCTGGTTTGTTGCCAAGCATTAAATCAAATATGGTCTCCCCTCTAGTCAGCCTATCTACATATTGAGTCAGAAAACCTTCCTGGACACACTGTCAAAATCTGCTCCACTGTTTGCACTGAGGAGGTTCCAGTCAATATTAGGGAAGTTGAATTCACCCATGACAACAATCCTATTACTTCTGCACCTTTCCAAAATCTGCCTCCCAATCTGTTCTTCAGTGTGTCTGTTGCTATTGGGGGTTCTATAGAAACCTCCCAATAAAGTGACTGCTTATTTCCTGTTTCTGACTTCCACCCATACTGACTCAGTAGACAAACCCTCCTCGACAACCTCCCTTCCTGTAGCTGTGATACCATCACTGATTAGCAATGCCAGTCCCCTACCTCTTTTACCTTCCTCCCCATTTCTTTTGAAACATCTAAACCCCGGAACAACCATTCCTGCCCCTGTGTTACCCAAGACCCTGTAATGGCCACAACATCGTAGCTCCAAGTACTGATCCATTCTCTAAGTTCGTCACCCTTATTCCTGACAGTTCTTGTGTTAAAATAGACACACTTCAACCCATCGTACTGACTGCAACTTTGCCCTATCAACTGTCTATCCTTTCTCACAGACTCTCTGCATACTGTGACCCTGTAGAAGTTTATTAAATCATGGGGGGCAAGAGAAAAATAGCAAAGGTCTTTTCCCTCGGGTAGGAGAATTGGAGGGCTTAGTTTAAGGTGCGAGGGGCAACTTTTTCACACAGTTGGTGGCGCAAATATGGAATGAACTGTCACAGAAAGCGATAGATGCAGGTACAGTTACAATATTTAAAAGACATTTGAACAGGTACATGAATAGGAAAAGTTTAGAGGTATATGACCCAAACACAGGCAAGTGGGACTCGTTTAGTTTGGGAAATCTAGTTAGTGTGGACAAATTGAATGGAAGGGTCTGTTTCCTTGCTGTATGAAACTATGATTATATGATTCATATGTTTTTATGTCTGTTCACGTGAATTAAACACTGATTTCACATAGGGTTTCATTATTTTGCATTAAACTTTTGAAAAATGCAAAATTAATGGAAATTAAAACTAAATACTTATTTACCTAAAGCAACATTTTTAAGCTCACTCTTACTTCTGCATGGCGTACCCAAAATTATTGACAAATATGTTCCTCTGTCTCTAACTGAGGTAGAGTGGCAGAAACCTAAATATGTCATCAATAGATTTTTGTATTGTGATATTTCTGATTCTGTTTAATAATTTGTTTGTAGATGTTTTTAAAATGACAGCAAGGCCCAGATTTTGTTCAACCTGTAAGACAAAGTATCAGACAGTAGCTCCACTTTGTGTCAGAAGAAGAGAAGACAGGGCATGTGGTTCAAACCTTTTCCTTAAAGCGTTAGTAATATAACTGGGTGTGGTACTACGACAATCATTTTGAAAAGGAGTGACTAAAACCACTTCCTGATGTGAGGGTTTTGATCATATCAGTCACTGCAGCACAAACTTAAATTTAACAAGTACTGTTTCATTGTTGCTAATATAGGGTTAAGACTTGCATGAAAGCATGCCTGTGCAAGGGAGCATTGAATTTTGCTAACACAAAATGCAAAAAAAAATTAATTCCAGCATTTGCTGTATTTTGACTTTAAATTTAGTTTTGTGCAAACATTGCTATTCACATTTGTGCATTTGGATGTTATCTGTAGGAATGTAACATCTTGAACATTCGTGTTCGAACCCGGTATCCTCTACGCTTACCAGCCGATGGGAAAACCTGCCCAAAAATCTCTGAAGTGGAGCCCTGCACTCTCAACAAAAACTGCTTTCACTATCATTACAACATCACAGGTAGTGGGGAATTCAAAAATCACACAAACTGAAACCCTCTGAAAAAATGCTTAATTTTTACTTTTATTGTAAGTTTCCAAATAAAAGCAGCAGCTGGTGAATTAGAGGGTTAGATCCATTGTTACAATTCCAGACTCGGCCTCCAAGTTACGTCATGATCTCATCAGCGACCAGCAAATTTTATTATTCAAGGGAAGGGCTTAATAGTAACATTCAGAGCACCAGACTAATATTCTGGGGATTTGTGTTCAAAACCCACCATGGCAATCAAATTCAATTAAATAATCTAGAATTTTTAAAAATGCCAGGCTAATGGTAACCATTGTTGATTGTCATAAAAACCTGTCTCGTTTAGTAATTTTCTTCAGGGAAGGAAATCTGAAGGGCTTTCCAGTCTTGGTCTGCATGTGACTCCAGACCCTCAGCAATGTGGTTGACTCCTACCTTCTTTCTAGACAGTTCAGGATGAGCTGCCCTATCCAGTCATACGCGTATCCCATGCAAGAATGAAGGAAACAAAATAAACAATCCAGTCTACTGTGTTCTCTGCTCACAGTGCATCCTCCTCTACGTTGGCGAGACCAGCCACAGACTGGGTGACTTCTTTGTGGAACATCTCCGCTCTTGTGAAGGAATGAACCTAACCTGACAGCCACTTGCCATTTCAATGCATCATCTTGTTCCCACATTAACATTTCTGTCCTAGGCCTGCTACAGTGTTCTAGTGGTGCCCAATGTAAGTTGGAGGAACCGCATCTTTCCCTTTCCTACTTATGCACTTTCCAGCCTTTGGGGCTCAACGTTGAGTTCAGCAACTTCAGAGCATGAACACTGCCCTTTCAGCATGGGTTCAATTGCCACACTGGCTGAGGTTGCTATGAAGGACCTTCCTTCTCAATCATTCCCCTTGCCTGAGGTATGGTGACCCCCAGGTTAAATCATTACCAGTTGTTTCTCTCTAATGAGAGAGCAGCCCTATGGTCTGGTAAGACTACAGCAACATTAACTTATATATTTTTTTCTCTCTACATCATTTGCTTCAAAAAGGAAATCTAACATGAGGGCAGAATGAAAAACCCCATATTGTTCAAATCCCTCTGCCCAAGTTGAAATTCAAAACGAAAGTGAAGGTCATCAGAAGCAGAAAGCTTGCCTGTATAACAAAATCTACCAACAGAGCAACATGAGTAAGGCTATTTGATTACGTAAAATTAAACAATGTTGCAGTCCCAATCATGAAGTGGAATTAAAAAACAAAAGAACTGCAAATGCTGTAAATCAGGAACAAAGACAAAGTTGCTGGAAAAGCTCAGCAGGTCTGGCAGCATCTGTGAATGAGAAAACAGAGTTAATGTTTTGGGTTCGGTGACCCTTCGTAAGAATGAAGTGGAGTTGCTAGTCAAAGTTCAAGTTCACATTAGAGACGTTAAAACAGCAGAGTCAAACCACTAGAAATGTTTGGAGAAATCCAGACAGAAAGGTTAGATTACTTGGAATTATGCAGGAATGAAGAGAAGAAAAAAGTTTGTTCTTCTAATTCAATTTTATCACGTTATGATGTTTTTAAAATGTAAACGCATACTAGTGCTTATGTTTAAGCAGAAGCAGCTGACCTTAGGGACCAGATGCTGCTAATTGCTCAGAAGCATCATCAAGAAGTTGGTGATGGCTGCTGGGAATGTACCCAGTGAGGTCCTAAATCTTCAAGGGAGTCAAGCCACCACTGAGTAATGTCAAGATGGGAGATCATGGAGGTTCAGGGTGTGGTTCAGCATGAAAATAATTTAAAATCCTTATGCCATTGATTATGACATTTTGCCCATGGTCATAGAAAAAGCCCCTCAGCTTCAGATGTGAAGGCTGCTGCCAGGCAAATGGGAGACTTCCAGTGTGAATCCCCTGAACCCATCAGAGGGCTTTCCCCCACCACCAAAGACAATCTGTTCTATAATCCTCCACATTGGTCACTTAAAACCAACTTTCCTTGCCAAAAGCCCCTGACCCTGGATTTACCTGAGCTGCTTGACTTTGTAGGACAGCCCATAGTGCCAGCAGTGACCAGTGAGCCTGTTGGCACTGGCAATTTGCAGAGATTTTGGCCATCCAATTGTTGGGTACCCCTCTAAGGCAGGAATTCCTCCTGAGAAAGGGGCAGGAGTCACACCTTACAGCAATTATCACTGTTCTCAGCAATAAATGGCTGTGGTAGCCAACAGAAGTATGGATAAAAACAAAGTTGCTGAAAAAACTCAGCAGGTCTGGCAGCATC